TTTTTTTTTTTTTTTTTTTTTACTGCATAAGCAGGATATGAATTTTCCAAACCTAGGGTGATTTCCCAGTTGGAGAAAGGAGAGGAGCCATGGATAACAGAGAAAGAAGGCCCAGGACATCCCAGTGCAGGTGAGCCAAGGCAGGTGGCAACCTTTTCACATGTAAATAGTATATTTTAAAAAATTATGTTTTCTGTTTGTTCCTGGTATAATAATACAGTTGGTTTTGTATATTGATCTTATAGCCAACCACCTTGTTTCATTCTGTTATTAATTCCAATAATTTGTTTGTACATTCTCTTGGGTTTTCTTTTTCAACTTATAATAATGAAAAGAATAATAAAAGCTGCAATGGTGTTCTTTCCCTACCTTTGGGTAAAATCTCAAAGAGATCCCATAAATGGTCTAGTCCAGCCGTGGGCAAACTACGGCCCGCGGGCCGGATCCGTCCTGTTTGAAATGAATAAAACTAAAAAAAAAAAAAGACCGAACCCTTTTATGTAATGATGTTTATTTTGAATTTATATTAGTTCACACAAACACTCCATCCATGCTTTTGTTCCGGCCCTCCGGTCCAGTTTAAGAACCCATTGTGGCCCTCGAGTCAAAAAGTTTGCCCACCCCTGTAAATAACACAAACTCACTTTAAAACCTGCCCAAGATTTGTCATAACTGTGCCCTGGCTTAATTTTGGCATTTTTCCTTTGTTTCCCTGTGTTCACTGTACCTACTTGGGTTTTGGTTTTACTTGTTCTGTTTATGGGAACTTTCTCACAAATACACATCCCTTAAGGTTTGTACGTCGGTCTGCGTGCTTTGTACACATGCACCCTGGCAGGAGGGTTTGTAAAGCGCCTCCTGTGACTGAATGGAGAATAGACAGGACCCGTGGGCTTTAGCCAGGCCTACGATGGGAACCCACTTATAAACTGTGACTTCTACACAAGTAACGATTAGTCACGCAGAAAGCCTGACTAATCCCTGGGATAAATGCTCGGTCACAGAAGGGCAGCTTCTCCCTCCTCATTGTGTTTGCCATCCATTGCTTCACAGGCGCCCGGACAACCAGGCTGTCCTCCAGGAAGGAGGCTGCAGGCAGCAGGGACTCCGCGCCCGCCACCGGCTGGCTGTCCAGGCCAGCACTCCCCGGGGGCTTCCCCGAGAGCACGCAGAGCTGAGCTGTGGAGAACTTAATCACAAAGTGCCATAGACTTTTATGGATTAAAAAAAACAAAAAGAGGAAGAGGACCCCTGGCTGACTGTGGGTTCCCATCCCCCAGCCCTCAGCCCCATGGAGGGGCTCTGAGCCTCTCCTCCTCTGAGCTCAGCGCGAGGCAGGGTGAGTCAGCCCCCTTCCTTCTCCTCCTGCTGAGCGTGGCCTCACTAACCCGGACTCACCACCCTCCTTACTCAGCTCCTGGAGCTGCGGAGTCAGGGAGTGACAGTTCTGGGAACACGGCTGAGCTGCCCGTCCCGGACCCCATCCTGCCCGCACACCCATCCTGCCCACACACCCATCCTGCCCACACACCCATCCTGCCCACACACCCATCCTGCCCACACACCCATCCTGCCCACACACCCATCCTGCCCACACACCCATCCTGCCCACACACCCATCCTGCCCACACACCCATCCTGCCCACACACCCATCCTGCCCACACACCCATCCTGCCCACACACCCATCCTGCCCACACACCCATCCTGCCCACACACCCATCCTGCCCACACACCCATCCTGCCCACACACCCATCCTGCCCACACACCCATCCTGCCCACACACCCATCCTGCCCACACACCCATCCTGCCCACACACCCATCCTGCCCACACACCCATCCTGCCCACACACCCATCCTGCCCACACACCCATCCTGCCCACACACCCATCCTGCCCACACACCCATCCTGCCCACACACCCATCCTGCCCACACACCCATCCTGCCCACACACCCATCCTGCCCACACACCCATCCTGCCCACACACCCATCCTGCCCACACACCCATCCTGCCCACACACCCATCCTGCCCACACACCCATCCTGCCCACACACCCATCCTGCCCACACACCCATCCTGCCCACACACCCATCCTGCCCACACACCCATCCTGCCCACACACCCATCCTGCCCACACACCCATCCTGCCCACACACCCATCCTGCCCACACACCCATCCTGCCCACACACCCATCCTGCCCACACACCCATCCTGCCCACACACCCATCCTGCCCACACACCCATCCTGCCCACACACCCATCCTGCCCACACACCCATCCTGCCCACACACCCATCCTGCCCGCACACCCATCCTGAAATGCACCCACTGTGCTGAGGGCGGTTCCTGGGTGAAGAGCACTTTGCTTAAGGAGCAAGTTCCTTCTTTTGCTCACACCAGTGGATGTGCGATCCCTTCGAAAGTCTTTGCAGTGGGACCTGGGGATCTGCCCCCTGGGTCGCTCGGGCCTCAGCGGGATGTGGCCGACAGCACCGGCGCCCGGGAAGGCATTTGGCAGCATGAAAGTCCAGGGAGAGGCCTGCCTCTGCATTGCCAGCAACATAAAAGGCAGCTGGAAAGCAAGACCAAGTGTTTTCAAATGGCCACACGGTGAGCGAACACCCGCACTTACCTGCTATGGTCCCCGCAGAGTGGAAGGCACTTCGATACCAAAGCACAATGTCGATCCTAAACCTGCTGGACACGCACAGGAGGAGCGCAGCCGCGCCCGTGATGGCCAGCAGCCCACCGATCAGGTACGCTCGCCCGTCTGGCGCTGCGAGGAGAGCAGAATAACACAGTCAGTCCTGGCTTCCTCACAGGCCCCTGCAAAGGCCAGGGATGCATCCGATGTCAGTGAGGGAACGGTGACTACTCCTCCCTCGCTGAGTCATAGGCCTGAGCGTAGAGGGCTCTGGTCTGACCCTGAGCTTCAGGAAACAGAGCTCTGAGCCTGAGGAGGGTAGTGCTGTGGCCCGTTGCATAAGGGTGCCGCCCCCAGGAGGACATGCCCCCAGGAGGACACCCTCCCCCCATGAGGACGCCGCCCCGCATGACACTGTCCGCACTCCAGATGTGAAGCCAGCACAGTGTTGGAAAGCCCCGCAGCTGGCACTGCCACACGTTCTTGATTATAATGTTGCTATAACTGCTACTCAAAATTGAGCAGCAGGACTCGTGCCATAAATACAGAGCCCTCAGTTGCCTCTGAAGCCATCTCTTTTGGCTCCACAAGACTGGCCCGGAGCCAGCGCCCACCCCAACCTGCCCCAGCCTCCCTGAGCCTGAGGAGGGTAGTGCTGTGGCCCGTTGCATAAGGGTGCCGCCCCCAGGAGGACATGCCCCCAGGAGGACACCCTCCCCCCAGGAGGACATGCCCCCAGGAGGACACCCTCCCCCCAGGAGGACGCCGCCCCGCATGACACTGTCCGCACTCCAGATGTGAAGCCAGCACAGTGTTGGAAAGCCCCGCAGCTGGCACTGCCACACGTTCTTGATTATAATGTTGCTATAACTGCTACTCAAAATTGAGCAGCAGGACTCGTGCCATAAATACAGAGCCCTCAGTTGCCTCTGAAGCCATCTCTTTTGGCTCCACAAGACTGGCCCGGAGCCAGCGCCCACCCCAACCTGCCCCAGCCTCCGGGGGCCAGCGCCCACCCCAACCTGCCCCAGCCTCC